GCTGCAGGTCGGTTCCGCGCTGCCGGAACGATCACAGACCGATCGGCCGCCGAGGTAGGAATGAAGCGAGCGAGTGATCGAGCGGATCCGCAGCGGGCGGGGCTGCGGCGCTCCGAGCTCCTCTCGCTCCTCTCGGTCAGCAGCGGCGCCCGCAGCCTCCTCCCGGCACTGCAGGCACCGAGCGCCGCCGAGCGCCGCGGTCCTGCCTTTCTCACCGGCTGCTCGCGGCGACGGGACATTCGCCACGGAGACGTCGACCCTGTTTCGGCTTTTCTCCTCGACTCTCAACTGATCATCACCGGAAAAAACATAGAGTTTCCCTGTGGTTTTTCTTTTTTTACCGCTCGGGAATAGTCGCTAACTAACGTGGATATATCTCAAGTGAAAAAGATTCTCATAATACGACGAGCATAGTCTTATGAATCTTATATTACTAGTCCGAAAGTACAATCTCCATCACCATATTTTGTAGCAATCATTATTGTATAAACCAAGGAAACGGGCTCTGAATTAGGAAACTTGATATTCAGACCGTCACTCGGAGATCCATAGCTATCAAGCTCATTAACACATATTTGCCATAAGCAATTAACACGTATTGCTTTAAGTATTTCGTTTTTATCCCACTCTTCTGGTTTCAGGGAATCCAAACAAACAAACAAACAACAACAACAACAACTGAAAAAACCGAACACTAAACAACCGCAGATTAGAAAGAATGCCTGGGATAATTAACCGGTCTCTCTGGGATACGAGTGTTGCAGACACTTTATCTTAAAACATGGCCTATATTTTCGTCCTTCAGCTGGGAGGAAAGACCAATAATTTCTCTGTCCCGAAGAGAGCATGTAAATTAAACGAAGGAAAAAAATTAAATCCAGCACCAAGTATAAAGTCTATTTTCCCTATTCTATCATTCAAAGTACTTGTATCTGATTATATAGAATAAGGATTAGTGTTCAATATTAAAATGAGAAGTTGTATGAAAAATACGAAAATTCATGTCTGGATAAAATCTATCTATTCATTAATGCTGCCATCTAGGTCGCAGCCTACTGCAAAACATCAGAACACACATGGCAGAAAGCAGAACATTCTCTAGGGAGGAGCAACCTGTAGTATTTATTTGGGAAACAGCTATACCAACGATTTTGCTTTAGAGAAACAATGCCTGGAAGAAAACAGGCGAATGCTACCATTTCTG